GAAAGAATCTATAATACTGCAAAAAAAATTCTGTAACATTCTGCCTAATGAATATTCTGTGGACATAATTCTGTATGAGGACACAAACAACTACAGAAAAGAGCACAAGGATAGTTAAGTCTTGTTAGGTAGTCATTACTTTGGGAAAAAGAAAATAAACATGTGAATAAGTTCTTCCACAAGCAAACTCTCCAAGCTAAACTATTCAGAAATCATCAGATAGACAGGCAAATCCTGTATTTAACTGACACAAAATTAAGGGTATTTCCACCTTCCTGGCACTGGATGGATAATGTAGCATTCCTGCTAGAAAAGCCAGACTTACTGCAATAGTCATTTGCACATCCTGATCATTATGAAAATTAGGGCCAGTGTTTTGGAAAAAAAGTCTTGAATGAAATAAAAGGAAAAAAACCCCACCCAAACATTTTTATCCAAGATCTCTCACAAACCATATGACAGGCAAAAATATTAAGTTCTGGTGATGCCTAATAAACAGCACTCTGGAAGGAAAAATATTTTATCATTATTAATCTATCTGGAATATAATTATGATAATTATTTTTTGGCTCAGTCACTTCTACTTAAGTTTGTGTGCATTTGTCTGGCTCAGTGCAGGGTATTGTTAAGGTACAATCTGAAAACAAATTGTCATGCACTGACACTCCTATTCCCCTATGTGAGATTTATTTGGCAGTTCTTTGGAAAAAAAATCCTGCTTCACATTGAAAAATTATATCCTATGCTAGGCATTACACTGCTATACATCAGCACTGTCCTCTCTCACATATATTTTGTGAAGACAAAGATGTCAGGGTTTGTTTTCTAAACTAGTAACACTTAAAAGCTTTGTTTATTAATTGCTAGCAAGATCACTTAGGAGCAGCTTATGGTTAAGATGGTACTATAAAAACCTCAGTCCTCACCTGTAGGACACAAATAACTAACATACAGAATATGAGGGAAAATTCCTTCCCATCTGCAGACACAGGCAATTTGATCTAAGGAAGGATAAATTATATGCTTGTGCAAATAAAAGCATGGGCCTTCGCAAGAGTGTCAATTGCAAAAATATGTGGATTTGATTCTCCACATATATGAAGAACGATGTGTGAGACTGCTCTCTACTTCCCATTTCCTTCTTGTTTGAAATGAAGGATCTCTGAAATGACCATTCCAAATGGACATTTCTCATCTGTTGTTTAACAGTTCTAGAATTTATCAGTAAAAAACCCCACCTAGAAGAGCTACAACAGCGAAGGAAAATGCTGCCTCATGACTGAAATGCTCAAGTGGGAATAAGCCCTGTGTGATGCTTTGTACAATCATTTATTTCACTACATCATAAGGAAAACATCTGCAGAATATTCCAGATTGAAATGACAACACTACTTACTCCTTTCTTACTGATGTAGATGACAACACAAGCTGCAAAGCAATGAAGAACCAGGTTTGGCCAGTCATTTACTATTGAAATCAGCTCAGAAGTAAAAGTCTGAGCATGACCATTGATAAGATTGTAACTGTAACACGACCTAATAAAACTTCACAAGTAAACATTAACAGAGGGTTGATTAAATTGCAGCCAAATTAATCACTGGTCACACTTCATAAAACAACACAATCCAATCTTATGTGTTGAAATTTCCCTTCACAATGAGACATATTTACTATCACCAAGGATATTACACTGGAAAAATGTACTGTGAAAAGCACATTTCCCAATGATTTTCAAGCTTCGAGCAAGCTGTCAGTTTGAATCACTGCATCTCTGTAGCCTGGATAACACAGAACAAGCATTCTCACAAGTAACAAAGTTAGCTACAGGGATGGCCTTTCATGAGTACATGTTCAGCACTCAGTTTTATAGTCTCATTTTGCTGTTTTCCTCCAAATTAAATCATTTTTTCCAGCTTGGAGATTAAATAAGCATCCAGCTAACTCCCCTTCTGGGTTAATATTTCACTGCTGAGTGGTAGAAGCTGGAATAGTGACTGTGTTTTATTTATTTAGCACAGTATCTCAGTGGACTTGGCTTAAAACAGCATGGTCATTGCTTACTTAAAAAATCTCCAGCAGCATAGCCACAGAAAAGGCTTCAAAAGTAAAAATGTAATTCTATTTCGATAACACGTATTTGTATTTATAAAACATATTTAGACTTCTTAGCACCAAGTCACATGTGTGGTGATCATGCCACCATTCCTCAACTCCAGCATGGTGTAGTAATGCAGCAATGTGGAACCAGCTTGGCTGAGACTCAGAATTCCCTTTGTGACCAGTTACAGACATTTTTTAAAGACAAGTTACAGCTGAAATAGCAGAAAGAGAATATCACAACATCTTTCAAAAGAGTTACATCTAATGACACCTTTGAAGGACTCTGAAACTAATGGCTGTAAGAATTTCAAAATATATACAGCAAAAAACAGAGCTTGCCTCACTTTCCTTTAGGTAGGATCAAGTCCTTTCTCATGTTGGAGAGTACACATAAAGATTTACATGGGCACTGTAGAAATTCTCAACCAAACTTTTCAGATAAAGTATTTATAGCATGACTGCAGGGATTTATCCAATTCCTAAGGTATTCTGTGTTAAATTGAACAGATGACCCCAGATGCATTGGTACAAAGGCAAAGAGAATAAATACTTCCAAACTACTATGAATCTCTACTATGTGCTGCAAGATGTAAATTATATTTTTTAGCTGCATCTCACCATGGGTAAAGCTGTGCATGCAAAGTGGCTCTCATTGCTATAAAATATTATACAGCCCTGGTGAAAAAGGTTACATTCATAGACCAGCAGGGCCTCTCCAAAAGGACACAGATAACCAGGATTAGAGAAAACAAAAAAACAGAAAAATTACTTTCTGCTGTCCCAATTTTGTGTCAAAACCTTGGTTATGAGAAGCCAAATAAAGACGTATTAAACCACATGTTTTGAAGTTAGGGACTTCTCTGTCTTCATCTTTTAGGACTGATTGTTCCCCAGGAGCATATAAAAGTGACTGTGTAAAGAAAACTTTTCCAAAGATTGCTAAAAAAATTCAGAAGTACTCTGCTGCAAAATGTCAGGCACTTCAGGGCATTTTCACTTCAAACTTTGAGCATTTCTATGGAAATGCTCAAGAGACAGCATACTTAATATATCCAACATCTCTGTTCGCAAAGAGTTTTTATTTCAGATAGAGGTATAGGAAGGACGTTCTCTAAGATACAGAGGGTTACGCACAAAGAATGACACATTTCAGGCAATTTGAAAAACATCTTCTTGTATTAGTTTTTCAAACATAGATATTCAAGTATGATTTAAAAGCAGACAACCAACTAGGGGAATTCTCTAAACTAAGGGTAATTCTCTAGACTAAGGGTTTAAACTAATCTAGTCTAAACTCTATTTCTCTACACTAAGGGAAATTTTGCAAAACAGTTATATACTGCCAACGCTAAAGGGCCTCTGGAATGAATGCTAAGAAACAAGTCTAATTAAAACTACGACTCACTAAATAGCTACATTAAGTCCCTAACAGGCTAGGTTGCTGTCTTCGAGGTATTCCAAGCAACCTCCATCAGCTTCACTGTTCTTCTGTGAGGATGTGCAGGTGGAGCCAGTTTCTGCCTCCTAGACTTAGGCAACAGCACCGTTGAATATGGAAGGTGAAGGGCAAGGCCGCTCAGAGAAGTGTCTGCACAAGGAATCCATGTGCTGCAGCATCTTCCGTCTGCAGGAGCAGGAAAGCAGCTTCGGGATTGCCCGGGACAAATGCAACAATCACAAAGAGTCCACGTCGCTGCAATCGGCTGTGAACTTCTCCATCAGAGCTTTGTGCAGGGAACTCCTCTCAGTGTTGGAGAGCAGCATCCAGAGGCGAAAGTGCAGCTGATCATGAGCCTCCATCGCCTTTCTGTGGGCATCCGGATCTCGGGCCAGGTATTCAAAGAGGTTGAGCGGCTCAACCTTTCGCATTGTTAGTCTTGGCGGGCTGACTGCTCACGAGGTTACTGGAGTTGCCTTTCTGGGCCTCTGTGGGCTGGCTGACCACAAAGATGTCAGAGTCCCCTTGGCGCACGTGTCGTGGTTTAACATTAAAAAAAAATTTTCCAGAAGGAAGAGGTCAATTTGGACATTGACCAATTGAAGGTAGACACGCCTCTGAGAACACAGAGGGGTTAAAAGCGGTCAAAAATGAAAAACTGAACTGTTGTTTTTTCCCCTCTTGGCAGGGCATCCTTGAAAGGAAAAATCCTAAAAAGCAGTCTGTCCATCCATGCATTGCTGGTGAGAGCAATGTGCATGGAAAGGAGAGGGTCACCACTGGCAAACTTTTTTCTCCGGGCGGTGCCATGTGGTGACATGGAAGCACAGGATGTGGCAGCTGTGTTTCTTGGGGGGTCTGTAGCACAGGAGAGACTCCTCTCTCCCTGCAAATGGACTGGGTGTTGATTATCTGGAGGGTGGAAACCTGATTGAGGACCAGATTGTGTCTCACTGTGGTTTGTTGGAGTTGGGTGGTGGGAGGAGGACTCACAGGGACTCCAGCCCTCAAAGGCGCTGCCCACCCCGATGGCTTCTTGAGGCACCGGATCGAAGCTATTGCTCACGCTGTCCACAAAGACACGCGTGAAGCTCTCCATCAGCTCAGCTGTCACTGAGCAGCCTCTCTCCAGGTCCTCCACAGGCCACTCTATACCATCCACTAAAAGGATGTCCTGCTCATTCCCAGCATCTTGGGTGTCTTCTCTGTCTTCACTTCCACCGCTGGCACTTTCTTCCCTGCCACCATCACTGCCACCTTTTTCACTGGCAGACACATTACCTTGTTCTTCTTCTTGTCTATCCTTATTCTTGTTTCCCTCCACATTCACATCAGCCTGTTCTTCATCCTTGTTTCTATCACTGCCATCTTCTATAACTTCCATATTTGCTTCCTCAGGTGCAGGAAAACCACTATGGGCAATTTCATTCCCACATTCATTGCTATCTTCCTGCCCAGTCCACTCTTTGCTTCTCTGGTCATTGGCACCTCTGCTTTCCTGCGCCTTCACATTCATGTATTCCTCCGTTCCGGCTACATTGTCTTCACCTTCATTTACATCAGTGTTGTTGCCTGCCTTTATAGTTGCACTATTGTTTTTTTTCTTGATTTCCTTCTCCCTTTTCCTTTCCAGAATCCTTTCTTGATCCACCTGAACATCCTTGTTTTCTCCCTTGCCTTGTCGAGTTCATTTCCAGCAACATTGCCAGGTTCTTCTTCATCTCCTTCAGTGGTAGTGTCTCCTGGCACATCCCCATCACTCTGTCCTTCTTTCTTTAACTCATAGCCATTGCCATCATTGACATGGCTGTCTTCCATCGCAGCATAATTGACACTGTTGACATCGCTGTCTTCCTTCACCTTCACATCATAATTGCCTTCAAAGAGGACGAACAGGAAATGTCAGGGGTCTATATAGATTTTGGACAGGGTGGGCTTCCCTGGCTCTCTGCCAACCCCATTGGGGCAGAAAGGAGGGATCCCGGATTATCTTGATCAGAGTCACAGGGTCCCGGGGAAGGGGAAACAGAATGCCCATGAGCTCACTGTAACAAATGGCATCATCCTTGTCTCCATCACCTGCAGCCACAGGTCTGCCTTCTCTGTCATTTTCAGTGCCGCTGTCGTCTGCCTCCAGAGCCATATCACTACCTTCTCCACCTCCCTCTGGATCAGCGGTGTCTTCTTCCTGTTCCATTACTGTCTCATCTGCCAAGGTCTTGCAGGAGCTCTGGTCCTTGCTGCTGCTGCTGGCCTCACAGCTCCTTCTCCTGCAGCCCAGCCACAGGCCCAAGAGGAGCAGGATGCCAGCAAGAACCCAGAATGGCCACTGCTGCAGGGCACCAAAGAGCATGGCTCCCCAGCCCTCGTCCTGCTGCTCCAGCTCCTGCAGCAGCCGGGCCATCTCACGGTCCAGCAGCTCCTGACGCTCCCGCATTCTTTGGTGCGTGGCCTCGTCCAGCCCATCCCCAGCTGGCTGGGGGAACTGGATCAGTCTTCGCACCAGCACGAAGAACAGTGACGGTAAAGCCATGGTCTGCAGGAGGACACACGGAAGGGGCTCAGTGGGGCCGGAATGGAGACAGACAGTGAGGGGCAGGAGCGGCAGGGATGTGGTGGCAGGAAGGAAAGGGCCCCCAGCATCTGGCAAGGCTGCACCGCTGCCCCCGCGAGCACCGCGCCCTGAGCAAGGCCCTCCTGCCGGGCGCTGAGCCCTGGAGACGGGGCAGCCCCGGGTACCGGCGCTCCTGTCCCAGCCCTCCTCCAGCCCCCTCTCCCCTCTGCTGTGTACTCACCGCTTGCCGAGGCTCTACTGGGGCAGCGGCACCGGCCTGGGGCCTTTTATAGTTGCCCCCATTGTGACACGGCCCCTGTGCTGTCACAGAGCCCAGAGCGCATCACAGGCCAGCCCCGCCCGCCGTCCCAGCCTGGTCATGGAACTCATCATGGCCCGGGCACGGAACTCATCATGGCCCCGGGCACCCAGAGCCCAAAGAGACACCGAGTGCAGAGCCATCACTCGGCAACCTGGGAACCCCAGAGCTTCCCTTGGCAAAGCAGGCACAAGCACCCTGCACACAACCCTTGTCAAATACAGATTTGGGTGACAGGACCCATGGATGTTCTCAGTATACAAGTGTTGGCTTTTATTTAATACTGGTGGGGGGCATTTTTTATTAGTAGTATTTATACTTATTACTTTGCGGCAGGATGTCAAGTAAGCTAATGCTCTGTTACAGATTTTGTGAGAAATCTTTCTGAAAGAAATCCAGGTTGCATGGATGATGCACAGGAAGATTTAATACCATCCTAGAAAGGCCAAATAAATTAATTACAAAATTTTGATGCCTTCAATAACCTCTTAGCTCTCAAACTCTGTGGTTCAACACCATGCAAAATTCTGGTATAAGCAGGATTTTGTTCAGAAAGTAGTTCTGTAAAGATATACCTCTGTCACTCCCCCCATCTTCAAAACTGTCTGCCTTAAACAGAGTTAGACAATCTCTCTGACATATAAAGGAACTTCTGTATCTTTCTGCTATCTCTTTGTGTATTTATCTCCAAAGGACTGTGACTACAGGAGAGATTATACTCCTCAACCTTTCTTTGGGGAACTCATCTATAAATGGAACTGCAGAAATGGGGAGGGAGGAAAGGGAAACAGGATGTGACTTGAGTACCTGCATAGTGACCACAGACGGCCACTGCTAGACAGACACTGATGTCAGGTTAATCACGCCCTCCCATTGGTGTGTAGGAGAACAATGTTGGGATTGCTAAAACTGCTCTGAATTGGATTTGCATAACAGATGTCATTAGCAAACGCAGTCAAATAAAGCGTTTCGAACCCTTTTCCAAGCTGATGCCATTTATGATGTATCTTCCCCGCATTCTTCTAGGGAAGCTGCTTTTGATCCTTCTTTTTCCATGGGAGCAAAAATTATTTGCCAAGTATCACTCTTTCAGTTTTGTTTCCTCTCATTTTCCAAGATTTAATAAAGTAAACACTCAGCAGAATAGTTCCGTATTTTTCAAACACAATTCTTTTACCAAATTGAGGCCCTTCTGTGACCATTGAAACACAAAAACTGTTGTGAGCTACAGTTTACACTTAAGAGGTTGATATGGGTCAGTTCTCCAAGGTTATTCTTAGTTCAACTGCTATGTAAACTGTTGATGTCAGTGACTGGAAGCTGCTCTCCAGGACATTATATATATGATAATTATATGACAGAAAATGCAACATATAGTTGAATGTGACCTTCAAGTTCACTAGCTTAAAAAAAGAAAAAAAAAAAGTCTGCAAGAAATGTTCTGGTTTTTCTATTTATAAATGCCTTCACATTTATATTTAGTTTATGCATATACAAATGACTTTCCTTGCATGGACAGCAGTGCCCATCCATCATAAAGCTAGAGTATATTATAAGTCTCAATGCTCACTGCCTCCAGAAAGCATTTTGAGACAAAACAGACAAAGTTTTTTGCATAAGTATACAATCTTCCAATAGTAGGATCTTCATTCTCACATAAACACTTCATGTTTTTCCTCAAAGGAATCAGAGATAATTTTTCTGAGAAATAAAAAACCATCAAAAATTAATTAAATAACAAACAAGATAAAAACACCACTTCTTCACTCAACACACTTTCCTTGATTTTTATAAGCATTCAGATTTACAGCTGCTGATACTACCACAGGAGCAGGGTTTTCTCTGGTTTTCCTTCCTCTTCCAGCAGAGCAAGCACAGCTGCAAAATAAAAACTCATTTCTAGGCTCTCTCATACATCACCAGTTGATCACATTCCAACCAGTCATAGTTGTGCAACACCCTGTCAGGGTACTGGGACTACTGCAGTGTCACAGACAGTTTAAGTGAGGCTCAAGGAGCTGTACATAATTTTAACTATGTTTTTATGGGTAATTAAATGATGCATGACATGTAAATAAGCTAGCTGTACTGAAACTTAACTAACTAATTGCTCTGATGCAACAGTCAAGCATCTCATCAGTTATAAAATGAATCAGGTTTAAAGCAAAAACAATATAGAGAACAGAATGCATGACATTGTAAAGTAGCATGTTCCAAGGACCATTTCTGAACATTAAGCAAGTGTACTCATCCAGTCAAATTTTCAAAAGAATTCCTGGCACCAAAATGTTCTCTGTTTGCTTTTTCACCATGTTTAAAGAATGGATCACTCTTAGGGGGAAGAAAATCTTGTGCACGGAACACTGCATGAAACTAAACAATCCTTTAAACGTGGCTAATTTCCATGTGGAGCTGATGATTTAGCACTGTCATCCTTCAGCAGAGGAGAAAGAACTGACTGTCTTTAGTTTACTTATGCAAGCTGAAAAAAGTGAAGAGTGTGAATTTGATCTTGCTTCAATTTACTTCAGTGGCCAAACACTTGCCATGACTTCAGTGGGAGTGAGGCTGCATCTTAATTCTTTCAATGAGGAGAAAAACAAATCAGCTGAGAAAAATGTTCTTGTTTATTAGATTTAAATTACTACAATAGCTATTTTTAACAGTGCTAAGTAAATTCTGTTTTAAAAGCCAAAGGTTATTTTCAGTTGTGCTTTTTCCTATGTACTATGTCACAATGCAGGATTCCTGGTGCTGTGACCAAGTCACCACTGCTCACAGCAAACATGGCTTACTCTGGGGCATGGCCACATTCCCACATGGGAATGATATATGTTTGTGGATGTCACTGGTGACAACGTCCAAATCTGGGCTGGGGCATTTCCCTCAGCCAATAAACCAGGGAACACACTTCTGTAAAATGACTGCATTCACTGAGAAAAGAGACTGCACTAAGATGTCCAAGAAAATCAGCAAAGTAAATCAAATCAATAGGGTTAAATTTGCAGTTAGGAATCTGCATTTCTGCAGGGAAATTTTAGGATAGCCACAAATCAAAAAACATTTAATTTTTGTTGTTGTTTTTTTCTTTTCTTAGAAGGCAATCAATCTTCTGATTTGGCTATTCTCTACTTTTCCCTATAAAGTAGAACCTACAGATACACTCAGAAAATATGTATGGAAGTACCTCTCAACTGAAAAATATTGTTACTCAGAAGATCGAAGCATGACTGTCTACACTGCGTGAATTAAACATATATGAATAAGGACACAGAGCCTTCCTTTCTTTAGTAACAAAACCGATGTTGTCCTGAAAATGACATTAATGAATGAGACTGGTATATGAAAACCTTCTGCATCCACTCTAGGGATTGGAATGAGGATGTTAAATGATGCAACAGACAAGGAAGATGCACTGCTTAGGGAAGCTGAATGTCACTTCTGTGCTTAAAGAGTTCTGCAGTTTGGATGAAGGTCACAGGTTATCTCCAGCTGCACAAAAATGAGTGATAAATACACTGTTTCTCTTAGATTGAAAGCAGAGCTAGACAAAGATTATTAAAATAAGGAATATTATTCAAAAATCATCCCCTGGACTTCTAAAGATGGCAATCTTCTATTAGAAGACAGTTTGTTACCTCCTCCATATATTAAAGCTATAACATAATAATAAAAGCACCTCAAACTTGTAGAAGTATTGAAGAGGCATAGATTAACTAAGGTCTATGCAGAGAGAGCACCCTAAAAACATCACAAGAGCAGTGACAATTTCTGGGATAGTAATGACATGAATCAGTATCTAGAAGTTAAGTATAAGTGAAGAAGAGAATTTTTCAACTAATGGATCAGGGAAAATGTGGGAATAAAAGATGAGCTATGTGATTAAAGATCACAGTGTATTATATTAACACAGGTGGAGAATATATGACTTTAATTCTGTATTACAACACATTTAAATTGAACTGTGTGTATTTTTACTTTTATACGTGCACGATTTTTTAGAACACATTTTTAGAATGGGGAAACACAATAAAGGAAATGCATTGTATTGCATTGATCCCCACATGACTCACCGGAATATCTTAACATTTCCAGCAGAGATTCCCACTTCTTAAGATGAAAACACAGAGAAGATGAAAACATGTAACTGCCATTAAGAGAAGGTCTAAAATTTTAATTGCTGTCTGAACACAAAGGAGCTGTGACATGCTGTGGTTTCTTGATGCACTCCTGCAGTTATAGACACATCTTTAACTACCCCACCCTCTCCCTCTTCCCCATCCACCACTGACTGATGCAGCTGGGAGATTCAGTAACTGCAGAGCAAAATCTTGCCCACTTTCAGCTCTCCTGCCCCAGCAAATGCTCATCTCTTCTGGGAAGATGGACCTATGCCATAATCACACTGCACCTTGAAGAGAATGAAACCTTCCCTTCAGATACATGCATGTGACCAGGTTTTTGGAACTGCCTGATGTTGCCAGTTTTCATCTGTTTTCCACAAAGAAGGGAAAGAACCTTGTATTCTCCTCCTCATGGTATTTCAAGTCTTAATTCCAAAGAAGAGAGATGCCAGGACTTGTCAGTGACATGACTAACAATTTTATGAGGACTGGCAAGACAGTTCATTTCTCCTACATCCTACTCACAGAAACCTTGGAATTATTTTGTCTGAAACACTTGGGGGAAGGAAGATAGACTTAATTCTGACAACTTTATTAAGTATTCAGTACATCTGACATCCTGTTATCAACAACAAAAATATGGTTTAATTATGATAAGCCATACTGATATAATTTACAATACATAAGTGCGAAGAAACAGCAGTGTTTTTTTACTTGATCCATGTGGAAAAATACACACCTTCCCCCAAAAAAAAAGTAAGACAAGGCACAATAAATTCTCATGATTCTCTTTCTTCTGGCTTTTCAGTTCTATCACAGCTCTCCAAATTAAGATTTATGTGCTATTTTGCATCTGTATCTGTTGTTGATTTTCCCCCCCTACAGGGATATAGGTGGATAAGTTTGGACAGGAAACGGTATCCCTCAAGCCAAACGGAAAGGTTTATAAAGTTGCTAATAAAAGTTTGGGTCAGGGCCTAAATATCAATCATCTGCTCATTGTCTTTTTAAACGAGCTCAGGCATTTTCCCAACCGCTCCCAGCAGGTCTCTGCCACTATTTTAAACTAAGATTTCAGCCATTTCTTTTTTTCTGTGTTGACCTCAATAATTTTTCTTCTTCTCCCTCTTTACCTGCCAAATGCATCCATCAGGATTTTGCCAAAGGCTATCTGCTTTTGAAGTTGAGAGGAATTCACTAATCGTAAGTGTCAAATCCACAATAAATGCCATTGCCATATGGTATATGCTGCTTTTGGGAATTATCTCAAAAGGCCTAGCTGTGAGAAGGCTGGCTGTATGTTAGGAGGGTTTTACTGCTAACTTTCATAACTCATGTCAGGTCTTTCAGTTTCTGTATTCATTGGCTTCAGTGAGTGCAACTGTTTCCTGAATTTATAAAAATGTTGTCAAGATCCCTTGATCTTGCTTCCTCCATCTCTCTCACACAAACACATCCAAACACATCTATACACAGTGGAATAGTATGCACAGTGGCATGCAAATCTAGCAAAAGAGAAGCTTGTAAATAAATAGCATGTCATTCTGCTTACTCAATAAATTCCTCTGGGTGTTAAACTCGTGATAAACGTATCATAAGCCCCGATGAAGGCTTTACAGCCTGTCCCATCACACCATCCTGAGTGCAATTCTGCAATGCATAGGAAGACATAAGTTTGAAAACTAGAGCAGAAATAGCTCCCACAAGGGCAGGGTGCTGACATAGTTGAAACATAACTAACTGGGAGCATTTGTTTTAGCTAAAGAAGACAGCATCAGTGTCACATTTCTGTGCCTGTGGAGGTGTAATCTACATTCAAAGCGACAAGAAATCAACCTTCTTTAAAAAATTGTCCATTAATACACAAATATGTTGAACCTCCTCAGATGGTACCATTCCCAACAAGAACTACACACAAGACTAAGAAATTCCACAGAGAAACACAATTTTGTGATCCAAAGAGGCAAGGAGAAAGAAAACCACGTATGTGGAGTTTAACATACCAACTTAGTGATAGAAAAAGAATTACAAAAATAAACGTCAGTCCCCTTGAAACACTTGAGGCAGCACTCTCGACTTTCTCTGATGCTCTAGGAAGGTGGGAATGTCCTCCATGTCTCACATCATCCCCACCAGCCACATGGAAATGTCTCCAATGCAGCTTGGAGTGTTTCACATACCACTCCCCTCTAAGTTATGTAGTCTGTTAATATCCTCTTAGAGCAAACAGAAATAATAGCTTAAAAAGACAGCTATATTTCATAAACATGTGCCTCTATATGACAAAAAAGCCCCAGAATTTAATACCGTCCCTAAGCAGAATTAAATACCGTCCCTAAGCAGAATTAATCCATCTTTAAGGCTTCTATTTTGTATTTCTGGGAGTGTTTTGCTTTCCTTGTAAGTAATACAAATGAACTGCTGGCAACATCGCATCAAAACAAAAGCAGCTGAATCAGAAAAAAATACTGAAAAGTTTACCTTTATAGGAAAGCTTCAGTCTTGGGATATTTTGTTTCGACATTCCAGTGACTGGAAGGAACAGCATCACTAAAGACAGCAGGCTGCATGCATGTGGCACTTGCAGAGTTCTCATTCTGCTCTCTTCTTCTGTATCTTCTTTTGCACTATGGTGAACAATCTCACCACTTTTCAAACAACCCAAGTTTTATCTGGAAGAAAAAAAGGAAAAACATCTGTAGACCTGCATTACTGCATAAATAATAATTCTGTAAGCAAGCCAGACCTATCTTAAAGAGCAGCTAATTTAATTTCTTTGCTACAAAAGCATTTTTTCTCCAGTACAAGTAAAAATGTTTTGTTTTTTAATACTAAATTTACAATTTTGACATTCGAAAAATATGTAAACTTTTCAAACACCAGTGTCTAGCACAGCTAAATTTCAAGCACAAATTAAATTAATGCAGCACCCACAAAAAGAATATTTGCCATTCAAAAGTGAACACTCAACTTGTTAGTTCATACCAGTGTACTGGATATCTTAATGTTTTATAACTTTTTATCTCAGTACAACAGCTATTTTAAGCTTATGCTATGACTAGAATGAATTGTAATGTCTCAGATGCCATGGGGGTACAACCAGAATTAACAATGAGTACATACTCATCAAAACTTTCATAAATAAACTAAGAAAACTGGATAGAACAAGCAGTTGTGTTTAGTTCTAATAGAAGAAAAGTCAGTGCAGATGATGGACTTAAAGTGCTTTCAGTATGATATTTCCAGCAGAATAACTGCAACTCATCCACCAAAATGTCCTATAAACTTTAATGAGTGTTTCAGGCTGGGGTCAACAGGCTGATACGGGATTTTGTTAGCACAGTGTGCAACTAAGCCAGCTTTGCAACACTTTTCACTTAATAAGTGTCATTCATATTCCATAAATCTTGAAGTGTTTTACAAATGAAAGCAATTATCACTGTCCTTATTTTCCCTATGCAAAAACAGAACCATAAAGCTGCAGTGAACCTACTTCCTCAAGGTCACACAGCACAGTAGTTCAAAAGAAAACAGCAACAGCAATGCTGGTGTCATTTGTACCCAGCTAACAAGGATCTCTTTTGCCCAATAACTCCACTTTTGCACATGGAATTATTTTAAATGGCATCTTGAGTTCTGAAGGCAAAACTTGATGGTTAATGAATTACAGAGATCAGAGTATGAAAATACTTGTCAGACCAGATCCTTCCTCCTGCAAGTGCATGATGCTAGAGGTCAAGTGAGACAGCTGGTAAAATTAAAAATATCAGTGTTTGAGTAATGCTGTAAAACCAAGGAGTAAAGAAACATTATGGTTAGTCGAGAGATTAATGGCTCATGACTTGCCATGAAAATTCTTTTCTGAAAGGTACTGGAACTGCCTGATTAAATGAGCAATCCTAGTGCCCACATCAACCAGCACTTGCACAGACATCAAAGGAGAGGCTCCTTACAAGCCCATGAGAGATGCAGCACAGCTTGTGGCCCCTGGTCTGGCATTAGAGCTCCTGCAGCACTGGCTCAGGCAACTCTGAGCTACAGCAGCACCCAGAACCATGGCATGAAAGGATGGAAACAGTTTTCTCCAACAGAGGAAATCTCTCTCAGATGAAACTTGGGCTTTCTGAGCCTCCAGACCTTCTGTC